GACTACCACGACCTTGTTTAGCATATAATTCTTTGCGTTTTTGCTCTTTTAACTGTAATTCTCGTGTACACTCTTCTTCAACACGTTTCATTCGTTCATACTGTAAAGAAAAATGTTTCCCTACACATTCTAATATTATAAATAAAAAAACACGCATAAATTAAAAAATATATTTAATCTCATCTACATTAAATATCTGAAATTTTTTTCACCTCTGGCTTAAGAGACTTTAACTCAGTTTCTCGAGCAGCGATATTAGACTTCAATTTTTCTAACTCTTGTTGAGCTCGTTTTTTGCTGTCATTATCACCTTTTACTTCCTCTAACAAGTCGTTAATAGTAAAAGTTAACTTATTCTTTTCTTTCAGCAATTGTTGTTGCTCCGCACTGCATTTTACAAACATTTTATTGCAAATACTTCTCTATCGTTTATTTTATATATATATATATGCAATCTTTAGTATATGTATTACCTAAGAGTGTCTCTTTCTTCTTTGGCAGTCTGCACTTCCTTTTTTGCTTCCTTTAGCCTCTTTGTAGCTGCACGTACCATCTCTTGCGCTGTTTTAGCTTCGGCACCTAATCTCGCCTGCTCAGCTCCGCTATTTGCTCTAGACTCCTCGAGCTCTTCTAATTTTCTTTTATTTTCTTTAAGTTCGCGTTCATGGATTGTATATTCTAAACAACGACGTTGTTTGTCCCAACGTTGATATTCTTTCAGTTCTTCCTTCTCTTCCTCAAGTGTTTTCAAACGCTCTTCTACAAAATATAAAATAATTATTTATTTATTTTTTTGCTTTATCTATTTTAAATAAATCTTGGAGGTTTTGATCTTTATAATTACCTATTGTTCGCAGAAAATCTTCGATTTTTTCTAATTTCCCTTCTGTTTCTTTCAAAATAGACTTTGATTCTTCTCTTCTATCATCGTATACTCTAGTACCCGCTACCTCTCTTAATAATTTCAATCTGTGGGAATCTGGTGCTGTTGCCATTTGATTTATCTACAAAATAATTATATTATACTATAGATAAATATGAATATATATATATATATATATATACTATGTTAACAAACCTTTCCTTGCTTCACGATATAATATGGATTTGATCTAGAAAATCCTGCAGACTCTAATAAATTCATCACATCATTTCTTGTCACAATTTTTTTGTTGAGAAAATATTGGTCCTTCTTGGAGCCGATTACTCTCCTTAAATAAACTTCATCCTTATCGATCTAAATAAAAAAAAAAATAGCTACTCACTTCATTAACCATATCTTTTCGCCCACTACAAAGATATTAAATATCGTATATATTACATGTTATCATCATCTCATCATGGATTTTAAAACGGAAGCGTTAAAACATTTCTTTAAAAAATTATGCATATAATACATTTATTTATATTATAAAAAAATTGATCTTACCGAAAAGTGTCTAGTACTTTGCGTACGCTATCCCTGCCATTTAAAATAGGTTTGCCAGCCATGGATCTTAGACTTTGATCTGCTTTCGCTAAATCCTCCTTTAAACCAGATAAATTTAATTGCAATACACTCTCCTGCCGATATCTGCAATCCGACATATTTAGTTTGTAAAGATTTCTAAGAATTCTAATGCGTTTATTAATTTAATAAATTAAACATACTGTTCTTTTCGAGTTGCTTGACACTGATCTTTCGATTTTGTAAGTTCATAATATTGCTTGTTATGATCGTCTATTGACGCACGTTGTTGTTCCATCTCGCGCGTATGATCTCCTATTTTCTTTTCCAAAGCAATCTGTTTCTCTGCATCACGTTTTAAATCTTCGCTAATCTTTTTTTGATGCTCTTCTTTATCCTTTATCTGTTTCGTAAGCTGCTTAAGTTCATTTTGTATCCACTTATCTCTTTCATCCTATCAATATATTAAATAAATCTTTAAACTATTATATTAGGGTTTAAGTATAAAAACAGAAATACAATTTAGTTATTATGGATTCACAATAATAATTTTTACCTTAGTGGTAAATTGACTACCACGACCTTGTTTAGCATATAATTCTTTGCGTTTTTGCTCTTTTAACTGTAATTCTCGTGTACACTCTTCTTCAACACGTTTCATTCGTTCATACTGTAAAGAAAAATGTTTCCCTACACATTCTAATATTATAAATAAAAAAACACGCATAAATTAAAAAATATATTTAATCTCATCTACATTAAATATCTGAAATTTTTTTCACCTCTGGCTTAAGAGACTTTAACTCAGTTTCTCGAGCAGCGATATTAGACTTCAATTTTTCTAACTCTTGTTGAGCTCGTTTTTTGCTGTCATTATCACCTTTTACTTCCTCTAACAAGTCGTTAATAGTAAAAGTTAACTTATTCTTTTCTTTCAGCAATTGTTGTTGCTCCGCACTGCATTTTACAAACATTTTATTGCAAATACTTCTCTATCGTTTATTTTATATATATATATATGCAATCTTTAGTATATGTATTACCTAAGAGTGTCTCTTTCTTCTTTGGCAGTCTGCACTTCCTTTTTTGCTTCCTTTAGCCTCTTTGTAGCTGCACGTACCATCTCTTGCGCTGTTTTAGCTTCGGCACCTAATCTCGCCTGCTCAGCTCCGCTATTTGCTCTAGACTCCTCGAGCTCTTCTAATTTTCTTTTATTTTCTTTAAGTTCGCGTTCATGGATTGTATATTCTAAACAACGACGTTGTTTGTCCCAACGTTGATATTCTTTCAGTTCTTCCTTCTCTTCCTCAAGTGTTTTCAAACGCTCTTCTACAAAATATAAAATAATTATTTATTTATTTTTTTGCTTTATCTATTTTAAATAAATCTTGGAGGTTTTGATCTTTATAATTACCTATTGTTCGCAGAAAATCTTCGATTTTTTCTAATTTCCCTTCTGTTTCTTTCAAAATAGACTTTGATTCTTCTCTTCTATCATCGTATACTCTAGTACCCGCTACCTCTCTTAATAATTTCAATCTGTGGGAATCTGGTGCTGTTGCCATTTGATTTATCTACAAAATAATTATATTATACTATAGATAAATATGAATATATATATATATATATATATACTATGTTAACAAACCTTTCCTTGCTTCACGATATAATATGGATTTGATCTAGAAAATCCTGCAGACTCTAATAAATTCATCACATCATTTCTTGTCACAATTTTTTTGTTGAGAAAATATTGGTCCTTCTTGGAGCCGATTACTCTCCTTAAATAAACTTCATCCTTATCGATCTAAATAAAAAAAAAAAAGAGATAAAATTATACATATTGACAAAATCTAAAATGATATTAAATATATATGTATATTTAATTTAATATTACACACATACACGCGCGTACGCGCGCATGTAGAAGTTTAGTGACATAAACTACTAATGATTTTTACCGGTAATCTTCCGTCAGAATTATCAAATATGATTTCTACGTGGGCAGATATAACACGAGGTCCTGTCCCTTCATGCAATAGCCCCTGTCTCTGTTCTGGTCTGAGATGGGAGAACTCATCACTTAAGACAAATTGAATCGCATAAAAGAAGTTACTCTTGCCAGAACCATTTCTGCCAACTTGAAAGAATAGTATTCTCTCAGTTACAATGTATGGTTTCCTTTTAGAGGGCACACTCGACACAAACGTCGTTCTATCCTTCTTAACATTCAACGAATGATAAAGATAGAACGACGTTTGTGTCCAGTGTGCCCTTTAAAAGGAAAGCATACAATGTACACATACAAATGATGTAAATCTTATTAACTGCGTATCAATCCTGTACAAGCTCATCAATTACATACCCACTACATTGTGTCTTGGATCGAATGGCTCGACAACTGTCTGTTCACGATATGACTTAAATCCTTGGATGATTACCTGTTCCAACACAAACCCATCAAAAAAATCGTAATAACAACAATGTATCGTTGCTCCGAATTAATAGATTAGCCTTAGAAATTCGACAGTAACTTGTGTATTCATGGTAACGTATAATTTATGCACATAAAACCTCGATAATAATCTAATCAAGAATTAGAATGGAAGAAATACAAGGTAGGTAAAATTGTGTAAAGACGGAGCATAGCTCCGTCAAGAATGCTGTTAAGTTGCGACACAAATCCAAATACAATTTGCTTACAATACCTGCTTAATGTACATGATGTGACGAGAAGTCCGACGTGCTTATCATTCGTGATGTTACTCCAGAATATGATCGGGAATGCGAGACTCTGACGTCAAACGCGACGAAAACATTCGACCGATTTCAACCGATTTGTTGGCAGAACGCGCAAAAGCAACATTTGTATAACACGCAGGGATGCAGACCAGCGACCACGAAAAGTCCCCAGGTTTGGGCGGGAGACGCGCGAGAATGCATGAAATACAAAGGCCAGAGGGCGATGAGTACGATATGTCGTATGATGAATATCCATACATACATACTCATACATACCTTGGGCACGTTATGCTGGATTCACACTGCATCCGATTTTCGTCGTACGACGAATCTGCAACCAATCAGAAAACAGGATTTGCTTCGCATTGATGATACGATTTTCCTGATTGGTTGCAGAGTCGTCGTACGACGAAAATCGGATGCAGTGTGAATCCGTTACTTTATTTTGAAGCGCCTCTATGTCCACAAAACATGAACTATGTAGCCAATGTCCACGATCGTGTCGGTAATGTCCACGATTTTTTGGTTCGAATCTTCCCTATTGCCTCCTGGGAGGTTGGAGCCATTAACTAAGAAGAGAATCGATCGATGGTTAAACCGTGAAATTCTCTGTCAACACATTTTATTGTGATATTTAAAACATATTTAATAAAATATACATTTTAAGTATTTTATCGCAATAGGAATGTCTCATTGTTCCATTCAGATTAAATAAGTCGACGGCACGCGATGTTTGTTTTCCTGCTGAATTGCTAGCTGGATTAAAATCTCGTCACGTAACTGATATCGCTGTTACGTTAATTATATATTGTCAATTAAAAGAATTCACACATAATTTGGTACAGTCTGCTTATTAAGTGATCAATTGCGATGGCATCAAGTAGAAGTACAAGAGAAGTTCTATTATCACTGGTGGATGATATCGAGTTGATAGCAAAGTAAGTTTACTAATAATAAAATATATTTGTCTGATATTAATTTTCTTAAGTTAATATAACTTAATTAAAACACAAATTTCAAGTATTTCATATAACTGGAATAAAAATATAAGTATTTGCAACAGAGAGAAGGGTTTTGTAATTGATTAATCTATATTTTTTTCATCTTATATGTTTTACTTTATTTTTTGTAATTAAAAATATTCTGTTATTTGTTTTCAGGGAGATGATAGAAAACACAATTGCTCAGAAGCCTTCAAAACTTTCAAGCATAGAACATGCTCAGTTAACTGAATTGTTAGTTGCCAAGGATAATGAATTAAAGGCGATGCTGAAACGAGCTGCTGAACAGGCTAAAATTAACTTGAAGATGGAAGCATTAAAAGCAGAGGTAGAGAGACAAGATCAGGATATCCAGCAACTGCAACGACAGTTGAAAGAAGCAGAACAGATTTTGGCTACTGCAATTTATCAAGCAAAACAAAAATTACAATCTATCGCACGTGCCAATAAGAGGCCAGTTCCTTCGGAAGAGCTTATTAAATATGCACATAGAATAAGTGCAACCAATGCAATTTGTGCACCTTTAACATGGCAGCAGGGAGATCCAAGAAGACCATATCCCACAGATCTCGAAATGAGAGTAGGATTTCTAGGACGATTGAGTGACTCAAACAATCTACCTTTAAATGGACAATTACTTGGGTCTCATCTAGGAGTACCATCAGATTTACATAGGGCAGGACATCCTGCTGGAGGTAAAATTTTTTGTGTCTATCATATTTGAATTGATATAAGGATGAACAGGTTTTAAAGATATTTTTATTGTTTTAGACCCACCTGTTTCGCAATCAAATCAATTTGCCTGGCATCCATCGGGAGAGATTCATATGTCAGTTGGTGGACAAGGCAGTGTGGCTGTGAATACACATAAACAAGAAACAGAAGATGTCGAAGTTATGTCTACAGACTCTTCTAGTAGCTCTTCTAGTGATTCTCAATAGATATTATTATATTATATTACAGAAACGTGTTTAAAATATTTTTCTCAATAAAACTTGAACAAATTGTATGAAATTTATATGTATATATTGTATGTGTATATACATACATAAATTTGATTTGTATCAGTAACATGGTGCATTTTGAGCATCTGTTACAAGGATCATAAAAGCTGATTTTTAAAATGAGATTCAAATCTTAGTTTACAAGAAACATTAGGAAGAGGCAATTATTTAAGTTGTATAAACTCTCTTTAACATTTGGCTTAAATGGATATTTTGTTAATTGTATATAGTATGAAATATGATTATAATACATGTTAAGACTTATCAGTTATAGATTAATGCAAAATTATTTACATGATAAAATTGTCTTTCCATGATAGATAAATCATATATAAATCAAATCCGATCTGGATTTTAAACTCGATGGCACTAACATTACTTTAAGCTTAAAGGCAAGGGTCTAATGGATAATTGATAAGAAACCGTAAAATCTGTAACCATAAAAAATTATCTGTCGTCCATAATGATATTCCATAGTGGTTACATTAACATCAGATTGTTAATATCCTAAGATGCTTATTAACATAAAAAATTGCTTATCAATTTAATATATTACTACTACTTTAGTTCTGTTCATGTTTGTGTTTCAAGACCGAAAAAGATTTCAGAATTTGCAGAATTGGCTGTGTACATAAATTTACTCTGAAATTTTTAAGTACCAAGATTTGCTTTTATTAAAAAATAGGTTTATTTTTTATTTCTTTTAATTAATTTATCCTCGTCGGTCTAATACGAACTGTAATTGTTATAATCATTTAATAACAAATAAATTTGTGATTAAGAGGAACATTACAATTTAAAGTTAGTATACATACTATATATGTCTATCAAATATACATATAACTGATATTTTTAAAGTTCAAACTTTATTAGTTTAGATTCAATAAATCTGTAGTTGCATAGAAAACATTTGATATATGTAAATATTATTTCAACATTCATCGTTAGAGGTACATTCCAAAAGAATTTTTGGTATAAATTTATGTAACGTCGCAGAAGTGTAATACATTTCAGGATTGGCCTGCAACATAAAAAGTGAAGTCTGATAAAATAAAAAAAGGAATTGTATCTTTTTGTATAGAATAATTAACATCTGAATTTTATACAAACTAGTAAGATTTGTTCGTTGAACTGCGATTTTTGAAATAAAACATTTTCGTTGGTAAACGTCAAGCCAAATAATTTACAATCCGCTTGGATTTTGCTTATATCTTTATAAAATAAAAGTTCTTGTAATTTTTGTCCCGGAAATGTCAATACTCTGTTATTGTAGCCAGAACTCATGATTTGTAGAACATTTCTGAAATATAATATATCCCTTATTTAAATAATTATTTAGCAAAGCTTAATTATTGAAAATTGTTTACATGCGTTAATAATAGAAATAAGTGAATTATACCTTCTGAAGCTCTGCAAATTACAAAAGAATGCACAAGCTAATATGGGGGGTAACTGTCCAACCAAATGACAAATACAAACATAGTTTCTTAAATACCAAGCAAGTGATATTTTTGTGGCTAACTGAATTGCTGGTGATTTTCTGCACATACAACATAAAAAATAAATATGTAAAAAAGTTAATGTTAAATATTTTTAATGCTTGTAATACTTGCACACATATATATATAATAGCTTTAATTTTTTTTTATCACAATAATGACAACTTACTTTAAATCAGATGGAAGGGTAAAAGCTCTTTTTAAAGCCTCACAATCTCCAATATGAAGAAGAATATATACAGCTTCCATTTCTGATCGGCTATTGTCTAATGCTAATTTTTCAAAATCTTTATGTACTTCTGTATTATTGGTTACATTTTTATTTTGTCGATCATATAATATAAGTAATCGCTTGATACATTCAAATAGATGTTTGCTATTTATTTTTGCATCAAATTCTGAAATGTCTCTTTCACATAGCCTAAAAAAAGAACCTATTTCTTAGCACTTTTAAAGAGAATTCAATTGAAATTAGTAATGATTGTATTCGATTAACTTGTACCTCTGTGCAGCATATATATGAAATCGAATAATTGGCTCAAGAAGGAGAATACTTGTGACAGTATCAACTCTTTGTATTACTGCATCTTGTCGTACTGACCTTAATCTATCAAATACAAAATCATATATCAATACCCAATCTAAATCAGTTTGTGTAATTATCCTGAAATGATATATATTTTAAGTATTATAAATCTTGCAATAAATTAGAATAATAAACAATGTTTTATTATATAGATATTCTAATAGCAGTAATGTTTAACAGTAATAATGTATTTTTAGAAATCTTAGAAATAAATCATACTTAAATAGATAGTTGAAATTACTTGGTGAACAAGTATCGGACAGTGGACAATAATACATGTGGAGGACGCAACATATTTGGATCGGTCATAACTTGTCCAGCAGCAGAGCGACTGAAGCATTTTATAATCTTTGCTGGATCAGCTTTGGGTTTTTTCATGTGTTTCATTCCCTCATCAATTTCATATTTGTGTAACAAACCTGCTCGTTCTCTCCTGAAAAAATAATTCAAAATTTGAAAAGCCGTATATTAAATTCGCATGTTACATATAAAAATACAAGATATATAATAATCTTTTTTATAATTACACCTAATAATACACATATCTCATTTTCAAATGTAAAATAGTAGGAAAATAAATGAAAATTCATGTTGACATTTGTGAGAAATTTGAAGCAAAAGTTAATTGTACATATTTCAAAATTTGGTTTACAACCTTCGTCCACACACACTTTGCGAAAAAACTTACATAAGTCGCTCTTTTTCCGGACACATAGACAGGCATCTTCCTACTATTTGTTCGGCAATCGTTATTGCACTCGTTGCGCCTTTCGCCTCCATTCTTAATTCTGTATTCATTAATTCAAATAGGCTAGCTGAAGATAGAGTCCTAAGATATATCAGAGAAACGCTACCGGCTTAAAGGTACCTTTTCACGAGCTGCTGAAACTGGCCGTTCCAGCGACAAAAAAGGTTACATGATAAAAATTGACGAATAGCAAGCGAATATGACGCTTGCTATTCGTCAGTTTTTATCTCATGACCTTTTTTGTCGCTGGAACGGCCAGTTTCAGCAGCTCGTGAAAAGGTACCTTAAGTCAGTATCGCAAAATTACTAAGGAAAGTAATAAAAAAGTAATAGAAATGGCGTCGTTTGCAGACGAAATATGAAATTCACCAATCGTCTATTAGGGCCACTGTCACCAAACTTCGATTAACTAATCGGCCTGCAAAGTTACTGTGGGCCGGTTAGTTATAGCGTTTTCCACTGGGAAAACTGGTGCAGCACTAGCGCCGTGCTACCCAATCAGCATATCATATTCAAAAAGTATTTTTTAAATATG